AGCTGCAAAAGAAGCAATCCCCAGAGGCTGTCGACACAACTATAGACCGTACTGGTCCAGCACACTCCAGGAATTCCAGGAAACAATGAATCAGACTAGAAAGGATGCAGAATCCCAACCTTCACCTGACAACCACATCAAATGGAAAAGGGCTGTAGCAGTGTTCCAGAGAACTAAACTTGAAGAAAAACGGAAAAGCTGGAGAAATAAAACAGCAGCTCTAAACCTTGATAAAGATGGCAAGAAACTCTGGAGATTAGCCAAATCACTCAATGAAGAGAGTTTCTCGCCTAGACAAACAATCACGCTAAGTGATGGTGACAAAATCTTCAGAGAAAAACAAGCTGCAGATTTGTTTGCCAAAACATTCAGTGTTGAAAGCAACCTGACCCTTAATGAGGACCATCAGAGAGAAATAAGGAAAGAAATACAAACAAGCAAACAAACAAATAAGAGACAGACAGATACTCCTGCCTCTATGAGGGAGCCATTTACCATGGGTGAACTACAAAATGCCATCTTTAGGCTTAAGTTAAAAAAGTCTGCAGGTCCGGATGAAATCAGCAACGAAATGCTAATCAACCTGACCTCATCTGCTAAAGTAAAGCTGCTGGAAATTTTCAACATCAGCTGGGAGAAAGGTTTAGTGCCTCAAGTATGGAGAGAAGCCATCACAATACCCATTTTAAAAAAAGGAAAAATTAAGACACAGGCTTCGAGCTATCGCCCAATTAGTCTCACAAGCTGTGTAGGAAAGACATTGGAAAGAATTGTAAATTCAAGACTGAAATGGCACTTAGAATCTGAGCAGATCTTGGTGCCAGAGCAGGCTGGGTTTAGGGAATGTCACAGCATAGAAGATCAAGTCACCTACCTGTCACAAGCTGTAGAGGATGCCTTCCAAGAGAAGAAAAAGGTCCTGGCGGTATGGGTTGACTTCAAACAAGCTTTTGACAAAGTCTGGAAAGATGGTCTCATTGCAAAACTGAAGAGAAATGGAATCCAAGGAAACATGCTAAAATGGATCCAATCCTTCTTACACAGCAGAAGAACTAGAGTCAGTCTTGATGGCCAGCAGAGTAGAAAAGTGTTACTTCGGCAAGGAGTACCACAGGGAGGAGTTATCTCTCCAACTCTCTTTCTTGTGTATATAAATGATCTGGTGAAAGACCTCCCTACAGGAGTAAAAGCTGCCCTGTATGCAGATGATCTGGCACTCTGGTGTACCGATGAACACACCACAGTGGCAAATATAAGAATGCAGCGAGCAGCAGATCTCTTGATGACATGGGCAGAAAATGGCATGTTGCCATCAACACAGACAAAACATCCACAACGCTTTTCTCTCTTTCCACCAGGGACAAAGCTGCTAGTATTCACCTAGGAACATCCTTGCTAAAGGAAGAAAGCTTCCCCACTTATCTTGGAGTAACATTTGATAAAAGGCTCACATGGAGCAAACATATAGAAAATGTAGAAGGGAAGGCCAGGAGACGACTAGGCCTACTTAGAAAATTGGCAGGTACAGGATGGGGAGCAAATGGAAAAACCCTAAAGAAAGTTTATAATGGAGCGATAAGACCCCCACTTGGAGTTTGGTGCAACAGCATGGTCAACAGCTGCTAATTCCCACCTACAATCGTTAGACAGAGTGCAAAATCAAGCTCTTAGACTCATCACAGGATCCATGAAAACTGCACCAATCCTGAAGATGCAGAAAATAACTGCAATGCAGACATTGTCCTATAGAAGAGACACTAAAACTATGATCCAGATGGAGAAGTTTAATAGTATGCAGTCACACCCAATGAATAAAAGGTTAGATGATCTGGCATTAGGGCGTCTCAAACGTAGCAGCTTTGTCCATCGGGGGAAAAGACTTAGAAGACAGTACCAAGCTGATCTACCTATTAGAACAACACCGCTGAAACCTACCCTATACCCTGTACCTTGGGAGCAAGTCAGTGATACAATACAGATAATGACTTCAGTCAATGGATTCACAACTGGAGATGAGTCCAATGATCTTCAAAAACGAACAGCTGCTCTTAGCATGATTCATGAAAACTATCCCGAACAGTCATGGATACATATTTACACAGATGGATCAGCAACCAGCGCGGTTAAAAATGGGGGTGCTGGAGTCTTTATTACATACCCAGGCAACCACCGCCACACAAAGTGGATACCCACTGGTAAATTCTGTTCCAACTACACAGCAGAGATTGTAGCACTAGAGCAGGCTGCCGAAATGTTACACAACACCAGTTCTGACTGCCACCAAGTGGTTATATTCACAGATGCGCTTTCAGTGCTTCAAGCCCTCAAGAGTGGCAAACTCCCTCACTTGAGATCTAAACTTGGCAAGGTGGCTGCCCAAAAGTGTACTGTACTCCAGTGGGTGCCATCCCACTGTGGTATACCAGGAAACGAAACCGCAGATAAACTTGCTAAAAAAGGGGCAGAATGTGACCAAGAGAAGAGAATGCAGTAACATACT